TGCCGCCACCACCACCACTACCACCACCACTACCACCACCGCCGCCGTTCTGCAGACAGACAGACAGCAGTCGACTTGGTTTACTACAACCTGCTCGGGCCAGCAGTCACACACACACACACACACACTCAGCCGCTCCGCGGACACTTCTACTTCTACAAGATTTTTAGTTACTTGCTTCCCAGCTGATTATCGGAGTAAAGCGTTATTATTACGCTGGCTAACAATGCGCGTGGTGATCTGGCGAGCGCGTTTGGAGTTAGGAGCGGGTCTCGTGCTGGATGTAACCGCTCACTGCCACTGACAACTGGCTATTAAGCAGACTGTGCTGTGCTGTCATTAGTATTTGATTATCAGTAGTAATTCATACTTCACCAATTACTCCAGTGGAATGTAATTTCAAGAAACGTCGTTGACGATGTGTTTGTTTTCAACTTTAGAGACACGTTGGTTTCGTCGATTCGTGGAGACAGTGTGAGTGAATAAACATCAAGCGAAATGACGAGAAAGTAACTTTCTTTAGTCTTTGTTGTTTTCAGAGTGATATCTTTTTTTCTTGGCTTTGTGGACTTATCAAATTCAACGTGTTTCTTGTGCCCACCATTTGCCGTACAGATAACTGTTGGGTATCATTTGCCATTTGAATGTTCAGTAAAGGAATACATTTCGACTGCACTACTGGTATTGAGAGGAGAAACTTTTTCAGCACATGAACAAATTGGAAGTTTTCAACAGTGGAAGCGGAGTCGTCACTGATAACTTTTTTCACGTATTGGATTTATCGTTAACTTAGCTCCGTGAGTTTTCAGTGTTGTGTTCACAAGGCTGATATTCTGAGAGTTTGTAAACAATTCTTCTTTTCTGTCTCAGCATTTCCTTCTTTGGAAGAGAAAGGTAGTATCATTCAACTTTTGGCTGTGTTCCTTATTGGTTGTCTCAACTTTTGAAATTGAGTTCGTTGATCAACCGATCGATCCCTAATGTCCAGTCTTGACCATCTAGGCCAGCAGCTGCAGCAACAACAATCCGTCCCGGGGTGATCCCCCACCCGCACCAAATGGTGACCACCATGGCCAGTGTCAAATTAGTCAACGGTCACCTCAGTCATCATCATTCGTCACCTTACCACCACCCCCACCACAGACCCCCGCCATCCCACCTCAACAACAACAACGCCAGCAGCCACCACGACCACAACCATCCTTTGATCCGGCCCCCGAGCTCCCCGAGTCCTGGGGCGGCCCAAGACGTGACCCTCGACTTCAGTGTCCGGCGCCGGTCAGCCCGGGCCGAGGAGTCGGCAGACGAGGCGGAAAGTGATATCGGCCCCAGGGACCTTTCTTCCCCGCCACAGTCGCCCCCCGACCCCACTCGGGGAGATCCCCTGGGACTGCTGGAGACACCCACGAAGAAGAACAAACGGAAACTGAGTGAGCCAAAGAAAAGAGCCGCCGAAGTTACTGTCAAACGTCTACGTCCCGACTCTCCCCACAACGATGAAGGAAATATCGCTGCTGACTCAAACTCTAACCCTGATACAACCGAGAGCAACAATACCCAGGAAGCTGTTAGCCGCGGTGGTAAGGGAAAGAGGAAAGACAGTAACAACCACGGAAAGAAACTCTCGTGTCCATCCAACACATCATCATCAAAATTTCATTCTGGTAAATCGCAACCTCATTTAACGAGAGACTCGCCTGTGTCATCGTCCTCATCACCGAGTGCTCAAGAGGGTGAAGACGCCGCCAAAGGAAGTGTCGGAGAAGGATCATCAGGTTCGTCTCCCTCTGTACCCCCTAACGGCGTGCCCTCTCATTTCTTGCCCCATGTGTTCCCTGGAGTACCTCCCGCTGCAGCAGCTCTAGGCTACCTCCCGGCTCTCTACTTCAGCGGTCGTCCATACCCTCACCCCGGTCTCCACGCGTCTTTCCCTACCCTACCTCTTCACCTCCAACAGAGTTACATCGCAGCAGCAGCAGCGGCGGCAGCAGCAGCAACAGCACAATCCACCTCATTGCCATCTACGTCCACGTTCTCTGCATCGGACGCATCAACATCCTCGAAAAGTGGTGCATCGTCGTCAAAGAATAAAGCAGAGACGAACGTTTCTGATTCCCGGGTATCCGACCATCCGACGGCTCACCCAAAAGCAGCCAAATCCTCAGCCACCTCGTCAAACCATAGGACTTCCACGCCGTCCAGCTCACGTCTTCATCCTGTTCCTCCTCCATCGTCCATGACCCCCCTTCCCCACCCAAGCATGCACCAGCTACCCTTTCCTCTCCATGCGGGCACCTCCAGAGATGAGGACAAGGACGATTCAGACCCTGGGAGGTCACAGTCTCCGGAAGATCTCAGCCTTGGAGGTAAAATGTCTCGAAAGCATCGTAAAAATTACAAAAATATGACTCGTGAGCGAAGGGTGGAAGCGAACGCTCGGGAGAGGACTAGAGTTCATACCATTAGCGCAGCATTTGACGCGTTAAGGCGTGCAGTGCCATCTTATTCCTACAATCAAAAACTATCCAAGTTAGCCATTCTTAGGATCGCTTGTAGCTACATCATGTCCTTGGCCAGACTGGCAGACCAGGACTATACCTCAGCCTCTGAGCACATCGGAAAGCCGCTCAGCTTTGCAGACTGCGTGGATATGTGCACCAACACGATCCAAACGGAGGGCCGAGCCAGGAGACGACATTAACGCATCAGGGCTGACTGAGTCAAGACAGGAACAGAGCAGAAAAGATCACCTGTGCCTACTGATCCAAGTGATGAAGCAGACTGGCGTTTTCCAACAAGATCACCGTGAAGCGGAGATACAGTTAGTTAGGATTTTTTATGAAATTATATCAAAAGTTCAAAAGTTGAACATAAAATGTATTTTACATTTCCGTAAAGTACAGACTCCGATTTGTGACTCCAAATGAAAGAATTCTATATGTACACGTGATGTACCACAAACTATAATGGTGTTTGGTGTCAAGACGAGTATCTTTGTATGAGATTTTTAAAAAGCTAGTTTCGCTCTTATCCTTCTGAAAATGTGTTAAGAAACCCCCCAATATCAAATAACAAAGCCTTTCACAGACAACAATACTGTACATGTGTATGTGTGCTCTTTGCCATATTTTATTGTTTAGTTTTTCCCTCTTCCCTGGTGCTTCTAAATTTGTTGAACACGTATAATTTTTATGCTATTAATGAATGGTCCTTCCTTTTACTTTCAATTTTATGGGTGTTTTGAATTAAAGTCAGAGTAAAGTTTAAAAGATTTAAAAAAGGTCACAGAAGTTGACATGCTTTTCTTTTATGGAAATTTAGTTGTTCCTAGAAAAAAAACTAGAAAAAAAATTATTTAAAAATCAATCAAAGAGTATTGTACCAATATAAGTCAGTGAATAGAAATTATGTTTACTAGGCATTGATGCCAAAAGGGAACAAGCGGGTGTCTGAACTTGGGTGATGAAGTTTTAAAAGTTAAATTATGTTAATCCACAGAGCAATGGGATTTGTCGTATATTTGAGGCCAACGTAACAACCAAAACCTTGTGAGAGGAAATATCAGTAACCGGGTACTTATAGTCACAACGTGGGGGAGCAAATGAATCGTTATTAATGGTTATAACGTGCGACTATAAAAAAGACAACACCGTTTCATAATACAAATTATTGTAAAAGTAAAAGTATTTTCTGCTCCGTTAGGGGGGAGGGGTGGTATAAGTATAAGCGGATACAGTATAGATTTTTGGGTTCTGACAAAGTTTATGTGACAGTTTGATGTCGTAATGCCTGCAAATTAACTTCTCTTGCCGTTCGATAATAACCCATTATATTCAGGAAAAATGAGTTTTCACCACAAAAGTTGGCAAAGATGAGAAAATCAGTCAAATTTAATTTAGAGAAAAAAAGAAAACACAGATTCCTTGTTTATACTTTTAGGAAGTTTTTTTTTTTGTATGTGTTTTACGACACTTGCCACACAATAAGGTCATTATATTATATAATAAGTGCCGAACATTATAAGTGTTACAAGGGAGTAACAAACACAAAAAAGGAGGGGAGATAAAGACGATGTTTGATAGGAGGAAAGAAAGGAGCAAACCACACCGGAGCACCCGCCACTAGGAAAGTTTAATTAAACCGAAGGATAGTAGTAAAGTGTAATTTGGGTAGTGGGTTGCGCATGCTTGGTGAGTTATGGAAGTCCCACGAATAAAATGATGAAACTGAATATTTCAGTGATCACGTATGATTAAACCAATATTTGGTGCGCCGATTTTTTCTTGACATTGTACGGTTTACTTGTATTCTGCTGTCCAAAAACACGCCTTGTTTTCATGCCAAAAATTGAACATTTTATATTTTTGTATTTCCTTATTGTGAGATGTTGTCCCCAGATTTTCTAGCTAGATCTCCAATGGCAGTATATTACACTTTCTGATGCAGCCAATTTTTTCTTTCACTTTAAAGCATTCTGCAATGATTATTGCAAAAAATCAAGCGATCTCATTGCCTTTTGATTTCAAAGCTGTTTGGTTAGAAGCGAAGAGAAAATGAAGCAGTTTTCGGCCTCAAAAGTTAGAGGTCAAAGTGAGCCAAAATGTTGTTGGCTTTTTGTGAAAGAAAGGGGTGGGGGGGATGTACGTCGGTTTTTTTCTATTTTTATTTTTGTTTTGTTTTAGTTTCGGAAAATGTGGACAAAAACTGATTCTTGATGACGTATTTTTACAAGAGCGCTCTAATCCCTGACGTAGTGGAAAGGCTTGATATCAAATTCAAACTCTTGCTCGTGGAATAGGGAGGGACAGGTGGCCGTTTCGGACGGTATCGTTTCCGCTCTTCGTGGTCTGTTTTGAGGGTTTTGCCCAATAATGTGTCGGAGTCAAATGGAAGGCAGTATTGTTTAAACGGAAATTGGCTATAAAAACCAGTAGGTAGGGAAAAGACTTTTCCCTACCATGTGCGTACATGTATAGTAATTTAATACAAATGTTTTTCCTCACCGTCGAAAATAAAAAGATGTTTTCTGTCTTTTATGTTTCTATATATATTTTTTACTTATTTTTTTCTGATTTCAGCAAGATTGGTTTGTTTCTGTTAGAGTAAAATCTTTTTTCAAAGAAGTATAATGATCAACTTTCTTATTGTTGTTAAATCTTTTACATTTTTCTATCAAACTTTATTATTAAAGTTCAGAGTTTTCTTTCGACAAAATTTTTGAAAATTGTTCAGGGAAAGCTACTTTTCCTGTTTTGAAATGTGCAGTCCTTCTAAAGACACGTTCAACTGCTTTCCTCACGTGTGGCATTCCATCCGTGATCACCTACCCTGTCCGAAGTTATTACCATTTTTTTTTCAATTGTTGTTTATTTTGTTTTCGGTTCTGACCTCTTCTTTACAAGGATCATGTGTTCATTTCCTTGAGTATGGCTGTCTCCATTCATAATGTCATTTTATACTTTATAAGCTGGTTGTTACATGTTTAATCAAATTTATTGTATGTGTACGAAGCATGACTGAGTTTGTAGTAGAAATGAATATTATCCCTTTATTGATCCCCTTCCGTGCTGGTTCTTGCACAAGGCGCTGATACACCTTAAAGTATATTATTCTATAACTTGTTAAAGGCTTCTTTTTAGAATGTGGATATATATAATAACAATAAATAAGTGTAAGTACTTATTTAATGAAAGTAACGTAAATGCAATGCAAAGTTATTTTTCCTGAACCCCCCCCCCCCTCCGTACCCCCGCCCCCGCTAAGCCACAAAGATTAAACTACTCGTAGCACCGATGTTTTCTCTTTCTTGACCGCTTTTTCTACTCGGAGATCAATAAAAACATGGTTCTCCCCTATCGTCTGCTTACAAGCTGTATGATGTAATAGAAGGTGAACTCAGTGGATGATCTCATAATTTAAGAAATTATGTAAATCAGTTTCAGTAGTCTGTGGTCTAAGTTTAAGCGCAGCACCACACTTTGGAGTTCCCTCAGAAGTGGCATATTGGAGCGGAACATTTATAATACCCTCCTCCCACTCCCCCCAGCCCACTTTTCAGTCTCAAGTCCCATGCCTTCTCTTGTCTTACCGGTACATCATTTCGAATGGCTTCATAGCTATGTCTTAGTTAATTCAGTTGATAAAGTTCTCCAGTTACCTTAGGGCTGTTGCAAAACTATTTATGACCCAAGCCCAAGAGTTTACATTAATTTACAAGAGACAAAAAGCAGAACCGGAGTCGTCTGTGTTTTCCCTTTTTACAATACCACGTGAACATGGAATTTGTAAAGATACACGTGCAACATGGCCTGAGAGAGACTCATGAACACGGCCTTCAGAAACAGTCTGGGACTCGTCAATACTTACGCCCTTGTACTTTGAACAAAATTCTCTTCCGTTGGGGGCCTCAGTGTCGGGGTGTCACAAAGGAAGGTGACAGTGCCACAGGTGTCAGCGAGAGCCAGACTTCTCCGTCTTCGCTGGCGGCATACCTTAATGTCGGGTACACACTTGTCCGATTGACACAGGCCGTAAAATGTCTGTATCCCTTTTGATGAATAGAGTTAGAAATTAAATCAAGTTTGCCTATGCTTAACTTGATTTATAAATATATTATATAGGGCATGACTGTATTTTTCCGGGGTCAAATCCAACGAGAATTTTTATCGGAAATAACTTTGGACTGGTTGGTCGACAAAGTTGCTACTTGAGGTAAAAATGGGGGCAGTTTCTTTGACATAGTTATATCAAATTGACATAAATGTTTTTAAACACTCGAACATAAATTATTCCTTTCACTTTTGTCAGTGTTCGATAAAATTCAGTTATATTTTCACCTCTTTATAGTATCGTGTAGTAAGAGAAATTAAAAACCCGCACTTTTACGGAAAGCGCAATTAGCGACTGAAAGTCGAACATATTAACATATTATATTACTTTGCTTAATTTTGTGTTTGCACGAATGCTTGCTCTTCGTGAATTCTATTTCTTCATCGTATACTTCAGCACGTCAGATTTTATGCTCCTGGCTCCATCATGCAGAGCAGATTAACTGGACAAGTGTGTAATGGGTGTGACCAACTATCTAGGAGCCTGGGTATAGGAATACAGTGCAAAAACAACGCTGTGAAATTTGCTAAGAACTGTGTAATATTGCATTCTCTTGATTCTATTATAACTTTTGTATCTAGATTACGTCAAACGGGACTAAGAGAACAAAATGTAAAACATTTTTTTCTATTTTTATAGTTTAATAGAAGGAAAACGCTTTCTTGCCGCTGACTGACGGGGCTATATTAATGAGGCATGGGAATAATGCGTCTTACGTGCGCGGGCAAGGGAGTGTGTGTGTATGTAAGTGTGTGTGTGTGTGTGTGTGTG